CCAAGCTCCAGTGGTGGGCAGTCAGTGTGTGTTGCATTTGCTGAGGGGTGCTGTCCCAGTGGCTTGTTTTGCTGGTTGCAGGGGGTGGCGCGTTCAAGTGGCGTATGGGTAGCCGCGACACTGTGAGGAAGCAATTGTGTCCAAGCTGAAGTCGGTCGAGTGGCGCGTCTGGAACGGCTCACTTCAAAAGGGCGAGTGACCTTGAGGCAGCGAGGTCTTGAACAATGACGCCAGACCGGTTATGATGGCTGCCCGCTACAGACCTGTCGGATCTTATATGTGACAGATGAGTCACGTGGATAAAAGGGCCGGAGAGTACACTCCCTACTTACGTGAGAGGTGCTGCTGATGTAAGTTACTGGAGGTGTTCATGCGCGGTGACCATGTTTATGGGGGAAAGTGTGGTGACGTGGTTGTATCTGTGGGGATTTACCACAGGTCTTCATGGATATGTGTGTAATCGAATAGGCCCATGCGGTAGCAGAATGTGCTAGGGGTGCGATGCAAGTCTGTGCTCCAGGCATTGGTTCGTCAGTCCCTGCACGATGGACTCGAAAGTGGCCGACCAAGCTGAGGCGTAAGGTGAATGCGCGGTGACAGTGTACGCAGGATAGGTTAGGAGATGCGAAACCAGTTGTTGCTGTGGTACCCTACTGGCGATCAAGCTAGTCGATGTGGCTGTGAATGGGAAAATCGGCTGTGCTTGGTGTGTCGAAATTACAGTGAATTTCACAGTTGTAAGTACGCACATGACCGAATAGGCCCATGTGGTGTTTGAATGTGCGTGTAGGCAGGTGCGACAAAAGCAGTGGTCGATCAGGCCGATGGATGGGGTGAATATGCGATCGTAATGCTGATCACATCGCTGGAGGTGGTGTTCGTAATTATGTGAGTGGTGGATGGCGGGATGTCCGGGGCCTTCTGACGGATGTCGGGAGTGGAAATTGTGATGGATGTTGTCGCAGTGGAGAATAAGCAGGGCTACTGGAGATGACTGTGATCGACGGTGACGGCGGGCCACAGGGATTCTGAGCATCGGTGGTGACGGTCGACTTCGTGGACGCCGTCGGAGAGGCAACATCTGGGGGCGTCGGGCAGTTGATGGATTGGGTTCGGAGATGTCCGACGAGGTCGAACCATGTGCGGAATGTCCGTTGGCAGCGCGAGCATATTGGGAGGGGTTGGGTGTTGATGTTACGAGTCATAGGTGCCTGATACTTGAGAACTTCTCTTTTGGCTTTTACAGCTGTGATCCGGCTGGCTTCTGATACAGTTTTCATTTCTCTTCTCCTGGCCGGTCGGTTCTGTGCGAGGTATTGCCAGCTCGTCGGGTTTATTTTTAATCTCTCCAAAGGATTATTCAAGAAGTCCTTGTAGTGATGGGTATCACCTCCT